CCTATAATACAAGGATAGTATAAAGGTGACTTCATTAGAGAAAACAAAGGCTAATGTTTACAGAGACCTTCCTGGGTGCTAAGCACTGTTCTAAGTGCCTTACACTGTCCGAATGCTCACAGCCACCTCAAGAGGGAGATCTATCAATTACCTTGACTTTTACAGATGAGGAAACTGAGACACCAAGAGATTACATAAAGTTATCACCAAATCAAACAGCCAGTAAGTGCTGTAAAGGGGTGCAGAGCTCAGATAGCATGCTTTGGGGCCTGTGCACAGAATCCCTAGTTTATAGTACCACTGGTATTTACTGACTCTTCTGGGTAAATAGCAGAGTATCTGAAGCATGTTGCCTGCCTGCCTTGGGAAGGACAGCAAGGAGACCAAGGCAGAGGCCTTCGGAATTCTTCCCCAACCCCAGCTTGCACAACCTGTCCTTGTAAATTCAGAGGCCAAGAGATGATGTCTGTCCGTGCGTTGGTATTCTGGTGTCAAGAACAGGGGCAGTTGAGCAAAACATTCCTTTTGATGAGCAATAAAACCACAGAGGCTTATCTGGCAGGCGGCCTTCTCCTGAGGTGACATCGTCGATCACTGTGGCCCCTGCCGAAGGCCAGCAGAAGCTCTCTGCCAACCTTGTGCATCCCCCAGGGCAGAGGCCTCACCAGCTCTCTGTCCTTGAGAAATGAGACTCCCCAAGTCTCCCAGCATTCTTTTTCCTCAGAAGGGGAAAGCTAGTGAAGTGGTCTTCCTTAGATCGTATCTAGGCAGCATTCTCTATCCTCCTCTACCCACACAAATTCAGCACAGTTCCCTCAGACTTCTTTAGTAGCTTAGCTCCTGCAAGAGGAAATAAAGTAGGGGTTCATAGCAGGAATCGACATGAGATTCCAGGGCCTGGGTTGAAGCTTATTCTCTCCAGTTCTTTCTCCTGTCCTTGGACTCTGCACCCCAGCTCCTTACCCCTTCACCGTCCTAGGGATTGGTCCCTGTATTTCTATTTCACTGTGCAAGGCATTAAAGCAATGTGTGGGTGTCAGGGAGGTGTGCAGTATCCAATAATCAAATGCCTGGAGCCAGACATGCATCAGTTTGAATGGACTTTGTTTTAGGCTTAAGTGAATTGCTCTTTTTTTAAAGAGAGACAATCTGGGTCTTACAGACCCCCAAAGGTAGGGTGGGGACTGGGCCTTTAAGAGACCATCTCTTTTCTGCTGCTGCCTCTTATCAAGGCCCCAGTTACCTTTAAAGATGTGCAGAGAAAACCACTCTCTAGCCATCCGTGGTCATGCATTCCAGTCCTTAACTGGTCTCAGTCCTGGTAAGTGTTTACCATCTAACCTGAATCTCCCACACTGAGCTCTGCAGAAACGTACTTCCTCTTGCAGTGGAACAGGAGAGCTAGAGAATAATGTCAGGCCACCCTTCATTGTGTACTTGAAGATAGGTAATAACCCTGCTCTTATGGCTCATCCCCATTTCTATCAGATTCCCAGCTTCTCTGATAACGCGCGTGGGCCCACTGCCTGCCTCACTCCCGTGAATGGGCCAGCCCTTGGGTTTGGCTGTTCCGATGTCGTGCAGGAGAGAAACTGTCCCAGCCTCGAGGGTGGGGGCTGTCTGTCTTGTAGCAACAGCACTGGAGGGGATGCTTCTGTCTGTGATCTTGCGATCTGCCTGACTTGGCATCCCTGGGGCAGGTGGAATGGTGTGTCACGGGGGTGCTGTGCCTTCTAGCTCATGCTCCTGGCTGTGCACCAGGAGAAAGCTAGCTTCACAGCTGCTCTTTTTCACTTAAGTTCCCTCCTGAAGTTTCAGCTGAATAATGGACTACAGCCTGTGGTGTCCAGAAGTAATAGACAGGTGTTGGGTGTCTTGTGTCGGCAGGAAAAGGAAGCCTGAGCAGCTGAGAATAAACAAGTTGCTTGGTAATGTGAGTGCCTTTCATTTAAAGTCGGAGGCCTGGCTGCGGGGGTGGGGAGAAGGGGGCCAGGTTTTTCAGGCACCACCTGTCTGGGAGGCCAGAATTGAGGTCAGTTTCCCAGAGAACCACAGAGCTTGCTGAGTGCCAAATAAGGAGGAGAGTAACGGGGAGCAGGGAGACCTGGAGAGGAAAGCAGGGGCTGAGATTCTGACATGAGTCATGGGAACTTTTTGGTCCTGACCCCAATACCAGCTGCTTTGGAAAATTGTTTTTCAAAACTTTGCACTTCCATTTCCCCCTTTGTAAAATAACTGCTGGAACTGGGTGGATGTATGTAATCAGGTGATATCCCAGAGAAAGGCAGGCTGGTAAAAAATCTTGGAGCTCAAAGCAACCTTCTTTCCAGAGCTGAAGTGACTGATGAGATTTTGATGGGCTTCACCTGGCTTCAGAAGACCTGGGTTCAAGTTCTGATTTTGCCATTGGTTCTTATTACGGCTATTTTTCTATGACCTTGGGTAAAGTTGTACCTCAGTCCTAGCATCACTGGAATATAAAATAGTATGTATGAAAGCCCTTTACAAAGGTGTAAGGGTTACTATATGAATAAAACACCCTGGAGAGGAGAGATGAAAGGAAAGAGACACTTGGTTCTTCCCACCATGTGTTTATAGTCTTATGATGGCTCCCAGTTGCTGAGGATTTCATTTCTCAAAGTGGGGTCCCACTTACCACCTTCCTGGACAGTGCCATGGTGAAAAGTAAACAGAAACAGCTCGGGTGTGTGTGTGTTTTGAATATGGTTTCGGTGGATGACTAGGTGGGTGATGAAGAGGAGGGGCTGTAGGTAGAAAAGAACAAGGACAGTGCTAGGAACTTGAGGTACTCTGGGTCCCTGATTCCCCGTCAAATGAAAACATTTCAGATTTAGTGTGAAGATTTTCCCTCAGGCCAGGTGAAATGGAAATGCTCATTCTCAGTGACTGCTGTGCCCAAGGCTTAAATGAAATCTCATAGGATTTTAGATTTTAGGCCCAAAATCTACTGTGGGTGGAAAAACTGGTTAAAGTATGTGGGAGGAAGGAGCTGGTGACTTTTCTTCCGGTTGAGAGGCACATGTTCAAATTCAGTGTGCTCACGATCAACTCCAAGGGAGCTGCGGCCCTGGTCTATCTCCCTTTCCCCAAAATGCCCTTTGAGTTTCTGGCCCCTGTATTGGGAATCGTGCTGGAGTTTTCATTTTGTTTGCAGCTGAACAGTAGAATCCCCCTAAACAACCGAGAGCCCAGTCTCCTATTTCAACAGCCCTCAATAGGCAGGTCCCTTGAACTCAGTTATCAAATGCCCTGCAAAGAGCTCGTCCTTGGAGGAAATTCAAGGCAATGAGCAGCTGTGGCACCTCGGCCTAGCTCCGGGTCCTGAAGTTTGGAGTTACAGCCCAGCCTCCTCAGCATTCCCGGAGCCGGAAGAAGCATCCAGCTCCTCACTAGGCCTGCCACCTGATGAAAAGGGGTTTCTCCTTTCTGTGTCACATCCGGGAGTTCAAACAGAGTGATACCAAACCACCCCTGAGAGAGCCAGTGGCCGGATGTGGAGAGTCCAAAATAAGATGAGCTGACATTCTGGGGAGTCATTTACCAGTGGGCCCCGGCCTTGGCTTTTTAGCCACAGTATCTCTCTCCCTGAACAAAATGTACTTCCCTCAGTTTCCCCCACCTCTTGGAAGTTGTGCAATGTCACGATGCCTGGAGCTCCCCACCACGTGTCATTGCAGGGCATGATGAGTCCAAGGCCAGCTGTCCCACTTGATGATGTCTTGTTCAACTGCAGGGATTTATTTTCTTGAGTTCTTGTGATCTTGAGGACTGTGATTTCTTTCCTCAGCTTTGGGACACTTGTGAATCGTTCCCAGGACCTTCGTCCTGGCAGAAACGCTAGGCATCAGCTCCCAGCTGGAAGGCAGACTCACAGAGGTGGGCAGAGAAGAGTAGTTGAATTAGATTGTGGAACTCAGGGTGCATTCTTTTGTGCTCTTGCGGGTCTATTTGAAGGGTACCACCTCTCCTTTGTAGAGAACTCAGGGCCAGTCTCTTAGGGCGGTACCTGTTCTAGGGGGTGAGAGGTCAGCATGTCGTGGGACACTACCAGGACTGACTCAGCCGTCCCAGGTTCCATGAGCTGGGGACATACTATAGACTTTTCTGGCGACCAGTCCATGCCCCTTTCAGGTTGAGGCAGAGTTGATATTATCATCCCCCCAGAAGATCCAGGGAGCACCCCCAGCCTGCTGGGGCTCTGCTGGCTGCTCTGCCTTCCGGGTGCTCTCCCATCTCTAACCCCATTCTGTGCTTGTGGTGGGGCAGATGGTATTGACAGGGTCGCTCAAGAGGGACAGGGGTCAGTCCCCTTTCCTCATTGGCCCCGTGTGTCCTGTCTCTCGGATCCTGTTGTCTGTCCTTCCTTGGTGTGTCATGTCTGCTGTCCTCAGCTTATTCCACAGGAGAACCGTCCCCTCTTCTCAGCTTGTCATTTTGGAAGCAGCCTCCCGGAACCTTGCTGTCTCCTTCTGACTATGCCCACGTTTCCTGTGCCCCCACTGGCCCCACAAACAATACAAAGAAAGCACCTTTCTTAGTAGAGATCCAGCCGAGAAGTCTCCTGGTTTTCCCTCAACCCCTGTACCTTGGGTGGCCTTGGAAAGCGAGGACTCAAGTCTTTGATTCCCCCCTCCCCCCCACCGCACCATCCCCATCCCCCGCAAAGAAAGAAAGAAAGAAAGAAAGAAAGAAAAAAGCAGGCCGGTTAGACGAAAGAGAGCTGCCCGGCCAATCGTCTGTCTGAGAAAGTTTGTGCTGTGATCTTGTTTCCTTAGGCTGATTGGAGCAGCCTTCCCTCGGAGGCAGAGTCCCTCCCCGAGGGATTCCGCGTACAGTTACACGAGCTGTCGCTGCGCGTGCCTGCCCTTTCGGGACCGAGATGACCTTCCCTCCCCGCCCTCCTAGCCCCCTGCTCCTCCTCCTGTTCCGTTTTCATCCAGTGTCTCGCTTCCTCTCTCTCTCTCTCTCTCTCTCTCTCTCTCTCCCGCCCTCTGCCCCTCCTCCTGCTCTCTACCTCCCCGCAGCGCCAAGCCGGCGCCCCAGTCCGGTGTGCCCGCCGCAAACCGCTGAGAGTTTGCCGAGCTACCCCCCGGGGCCCCGGCAGCCGATCCCGCTCGGGCACCGACGCCTGCAGGCGAGGCGGCGCGGCGGAAGACAAACAAGCGCGCGCGCGGGGAGCCCCGGGAGGGCGGCCGGGCGGCTCCCGCCGCGCCCAGGTCTCCACTCCCGCGGCGGAGCGGCGCCCGGAAAAGTTGGACTCACGGCGGCCGCGCGCCGGGCAGCGTCGGAGCCCCCGCGTCCCGTCCCCGCGGCGCCCCGGGGGAGGAACCTGGCACTTCCCGTCGCTCGAGCCGCGCGCGCTGCCTAACGCGAGGGCCGAGCGCGCCGCGGGCGAAGGGGGGCGGCGGGCCGAGCGCGGGCTCACGGGGACCCATGCCGGCGGCCAACCTGATGGAGAGCCTGCAGCTGCCCGCCCTGCAGGTGCCCGGGCCGCAGGGCGCGCCCCAGGGCAGCCCGGTCTGGTCCAGCGCGTCGACCCCCACGCTCCGCCGCCGGCGCTTCAAGATGCGCCGCACGAAGAACGTGCAGGAGCAGAGCCTGGAGGCCGGGCTGGCGCGGGACCTGCCCGGCGTGCTGGCCCCCGGCAAGGAGTTCCTGCAGCTGCCGTCCATCGAGATCACGCCCTCCAGCGACGAGGACACCCCGTGGTCCAACTGCTCCACACCCAGCGCGTCTCCGCGCCGAAAACGCTTCCTCCTCCGCAAGTGGCTGCGGGTGAGGCAGCCCAAGGAGTGCAGCGAAAGCAGGTACGTCCTGTCCCGCCCCCTCGCTCCCCTGTCTTCCCCTTCCCAGGGCCGGCCGGGGCCCCAGGGCCCTCTGGTGGAAACTTCAGTCCGGGGGGCTTCGGGCACTGGGGCTGCAGGTACCTCGGCGTCCGCTAGTGTCTTCCATCTCCCAGCCCAGGGCTCCGGGCCACTGCCCGGGTACTCCCTGACAACACGTTTCCGTGGGGCTTCGTGCTGCATTCCATCCCATTTCATCCTCACGGCAAAACGAATAAAAACCATAGCAGTTAATTAACATCTAATGTGTAATGAGCCCTTATCCTGGGCGGATTGTTATGGTAAGCTTGTCACTGTCCCCAAATTCTCACAAGAACTCTTTGAGTTAGGTACTACTGTTATACCCATTTAACAGAAGGAGAGAGCAGAAGGAGGGATGCCAAGTGACGCCTCCACCTGGACTTGTATTTCTGACTGTGGACTTTGAGAAGTCCATTTTAATTTTTATTATTTTATTTTTGGCCACACCAGGTTGCCTTTCCTGGCCCACATGAGTAGAAGGGGAGGCGGAGTATTCATGTCGAGTGAGTCACACTTCCTACCACCTTGAGTCTTTTACACATCTAGGCCTGGGCCACACTATGGTGACGTGCACCAGCTACTTTTTGCCTGGATGAATGCCGCATCTGAGCAGTGGAAGCTGCTTTTCCTACCGCTCGGTATAGAAAACCATAGGGCAGCTCCATACAGCACTGGCCAGGAGTTGTTTGAGGCGAGCCTGGTGCCTGATGAGGTGGGGAAAATCTTCTCTGGCTCTTTTATACCATGGACCCTACTCACTTACTTTTAGACTGTAGGGTCCTGGTTCAGCCGTAGTTTGTGTTCTTTTTTGGGACAACTGAGCAATTAGCCACCTTCCCCAGGACTCCTTCTCCCAACAATCTATTCACTTCCATTCATTTCAATTCAACAAGTATTTATTGAATGTTCTTGTGAGCTCAGGCTGGTACCAGCCAGTGGAGATGTGGTCATGGACGTGAGGGGCTGGGTACAACAGGGGGATGTGGACTTCGAGAAGGAGGATGGGAGGAAGCTGGTATAAGAAATTAAGACATGTGAGTTTCACTGGTATTGAGGAGATGGAACCACTGGAAGACATACACTGCGGGTACCATGTAGGACTGATTGTTCAAGAAGAGAAGACGACTTCTGGAAGAAAGAGACTCTATGCAAAACAGATAAAGGATGGAAAACAGCGGGAAGAGTGTGAGGCCAGGGACAGGAGATCAGGAAGGGGGAACAATGTGGACAAAGACAAAAGAAATGGGATGAGCCATGTGTGTGTCATTGAGGGGACATTGAGGAATCGGGCCAGTTATGCTGGAGATGAGCCTTATAAACCTCCCAGGGTTTCTCTTTTCTGGCTGCATGGTCTGAATGTCATTAAGCCTGAGGTGCCGGTGTAGGGCTTGTGTTGTTGGGGGGCTGTCTGGGGACTTGAGGATGACAGTTCTTTCTGCTCTGGCACTTCATCCTGCTGCCATTGCGGCAGAGTAGAGGCAAATGGAGCAAGCTGGGTGGGAGCTAATCTTGAACTTCATTATGGTTTGTCGGCTTTGTCCTCTTAATATGGAAGACCCTAGAAGAGACCCTATTTGGACCTTGAGATCCTCCCATGTACACTGAAGACAAAAACTGGGGACAAGCGTCTTGCCTTTCTGGCCAGGTGGGGGTGGGGGGGGATTTGGTTAGGTGTAAGGAAGGCTCTCCTGGTTTTGAGATATACCTAAGGGTGCATGGAACCTTCATCATCTTTTTTTCTTTTACTATAAAGGATACAGGGTTTAATGGTTTATAAAAATAGAGTTTTGACCTCAGTTTCATTCATGTTCTGGTAATAACTCCCAGCATGAATGAGAAAATTGCCGTACCCCTGTGTGAGTCAGTGTCCTCATACCCAAAACAGAAATAATGAAGCTTGGTTGTCATTAAGTTTCCTTAAGATCTTCAGATGAAAGATATTGGATGTGTCCAAGACAAATTATTCAGCAGTATGCTATGAGAGATTCTCAGAGGGGAAAGAACTAGTTGTGGCTTAAAAGTGTAGTTGGAAGTAAGTGGGGAGGCACTCCAAGAATATATACATGTGTATGTTTGAGAAGAGTGATCCCAGGAAACATCGGGGATCCTGGAAAGCTCAGCTTTGATTCTGGTCCTGCCAGTTTGACAGGACACTTTGATGTCATATCTAGCAATCTCATTTTCCCCATTAGTGAGATACAAATGGCCCAAGGCTGCTTTATTTGATTTCCCTGCTCAAAAACCATCATTGGATCCTCTGTGATTATGCACTATTAGCCTCTAGCTTTCTACAAGGTGCCCACAGCCTCCCTTGGCAGACTTTTCTTCCACTCTTTACTTTTTCTCAACTGAGAATACTCTTCTCTTCTTAAGCCAATTTCTACCCATGTGGAATGCCATCCTTCCTTCCCTTCTCCACCCATCAAACTTCTAACCCTCCTTCTGTTGCTTGAATGAAGGGCTTGACTCATCCTGAGTTCTGGGTCCCCTGTAGCAATTTTTTTTTTATTAAGATTATCATTGATATACATTGCTTTTCCATGAGGTCCACTCTTTTCCCCAGATGTAGGCAGTCTGTTGCAGTGTTCTTTCCTGTTGCTCTTTTAGGATTAGTCCTATTTGCTGTATTTTCATAGTATATGTGGTTTGGGGAAGAGGTTTCTGTCTCACCTCTCACACTGCCATCTTTAAGCCAATCAGAATCTTCATTTTTTGGGGGAGCAGGGAACATGCAATTAAAAGCAGGATTTTTCACCTCCTATGTGTAGTTCAAGGCAATGCCTTTAAATGGTGGCTTGTTGGATTAGAAGTGTGTGTGTGAATATGTAGAAAAAGACCAACTCTGGATTCAAACACAAATTTGTCTGACTGAAATCTCTACTCTTAACCATTGTTATACTGCCTCCTGTTGGAGTGTTTTTGGATTGTGGCTAAGACAAAAACCTATCATTTTTAGGCCTTGGAAATGAAACGCTTCTTGGAAACAAAAGAAGCCATCAAGTGAATAGGTGCTTGTACATGCCCAACAAGAACCCCTGAGAAAGAGTTGGCATTCGGAGGCAGTAAAGCACAAAGAATATTGGACTTACAGTCAGGGGACTAAGATTTAAATTTAAGTTCTATTATGTATGAGGTGGGGAACCTTGGGCACCCCACTTTACCTCTCGGGTTTCACCATCTCCATCTGTGGAGGGGGGGATCTGTGGATTAATGGGAGGTCTCCAGAGTACTACGTGGGAAAACGTTTTGTCAACTTCTCCTTGTTGTTCAAGGGTGAGGGACTATTGCCATTATTTGGTGAAGAGGATGTGTGAAGTGGATGTGTGCTTGAGAGTGTGAGTTTATAGGCTCACGTGTTTGGTAGCTACACCTGGGACCCCTCACACATTACACGATTTGAAAATGATTGGAAAATGACTCTGCTCTGGCCCCGCATCAGGGGGCATGAGCACTCCAGGCTCAGCATGGCCTCCTTCCTCTGCCCATTCCCTATTCCACATCTACCTCTCACCGCAGGGAAAAGCACAGTGCAGGCCTGTCTGACGTGGTAGAAGGCAGGGGGCTGACAGAGTCCCAGTTTGTGGATTTTAATGGCACAAACTTGAAAATATAAACAGAATCAGGAGACCCTTTTTTTCTCCTTAACCCTAGGAAGAAAGAAGTGGGGAAAATGATAAGGTTTGCATGGTTTGGGGATCTTGGACCTTGGGGTACAGTACTGAAATACTCCAAGTCCTGTTTTGCCTGGTTCATCTTTATATCCTTGCTGTCTGACACCATACTTGACTTCTCAGGGCAATCAATAGATGTTTGTTGATGAATAAATTAATAATGAATGAGTGAATGAATGATTTCTTTTTTTCTACTGTTTGGAATGGAATTATCCTTATTCGTGAATCAGGGAAAATTTCCTGGAGGAAATGAATCCAGAACCGAGTTTCTTTTTGGTGACAGCCTTATTGAGATACAATTTATATGTCATACAGTTTGCTCATTTTTAAAGTCTATCATTCAATGGTTTTTGGTATATTCACAAATATGTGTAACCATCACCATGCTCAATTTTAGAACATTTTCATGTCCTCAGAAGGGAACCTGTACCTTTTATATCTCATCTTCATTCCTCCTGTCCCCCACTCCCCAGCCTTATGCGACCAAGAATTTACTTCCGGTGGAGAGCTGAGTTTTGAAGGGGGACCAAATGCCTATTGATGAGAGCAGTTTGGCTGTGTTGACTTCAGGTGGGGATGGATGACCAAGTGTGGGATGTGGAAAAATGAAGGTGGTGAGTTGATGGGCTGACAGACTCTAATTTATGCTGAAGAGCTTGAATTTCAATTAGTCAGCAAAGATGTATTGAGACCCTCTTGCCAATGTGCTTTATATACAAAGAGGATTCAACTCAATGGGGAGCCATTGTAGGTTCTGGAACCTGGGAGAGACATGCTCAGAGTGATATTTGAGGCAACTAATTCTTGCTTTTCCAAGAATGGATGGTGAGGATGAGACCTGATCCTTGCACTGTTCTCCCAGCAGTCTAGCCAGAATTGTTGTCTTAGCCACCATGTAACATAAGATGGCACAATTTTTTGCCATCCATGTTGCCCTCGGAGCACCCTGGATAATGTAGTCCGAAGTTGATGGGGCAAACTCTTAGAATTAGTACCTGTATCTCTCCCTATCCCTTGGCCGTAACTAATCAAAGCTCAAACTGAGGATCAGAGCCCATCTCTGACCTGCTGGGTTACAGCAAAAAGTTAGCAGTTATGTGGAGCCACATCTTCCTGGATGGCATCTTGTCATCAATTAATTCTCTGGAGCAGGGAGGGAGAGTGACACTGGGCAGGTGAGGGGGTGTGCATGGCTGAGTGCAGGCTCTCTGTCCAGGGGCTGCAGAGGGCACCTCTCTGCTTCTCTCTCCCCAGGGTGCTCTCCTTATGACC